GACTCACTGTGAAGCCGCCAGAGGACGTAAAGCGGGGGGCTGCTGTCAGGTTCAGGGGCCAGGACGTCCCAGAGCAGCCGGATGCGTACGCAGGGGGTGTCAGTGGGCTGCGTCTGCGGGACAGGCAGGTGGGCACCGGGCTGGTGCCCCCCCTTGCAAACCCTCCCCACAGCCCCCCATTTTACCTGCGGGGCCGGGGCGACGTGCTGGGAGCCCAGGAGCAGGCGGGGGAGGTTGCTGGGCAGCCCCAGGCGTTGGAAGTACCAAACGAGGTTCCAGTAGATGATGGGGTGGCTGTCCACCAGCTCCGGTTGCGCCAAGAATTCGCCGCCTTCGTTCTCCACCAAACTTTCCAGTTCTTTCCGCAGCACCAACGGGCTCAGGTAAGCGAAAGCCACTCGCTCCGACCGCCGCGGCACCTGCAGGGGGGACACATACGTCGCTGGGACACCCGATGTCCTCCTCCCTGTGGGGATGGTTGTCTCCTCTCTCCGCGCTCGGCATCGTACCGCCGTGTCCGGGTAGCCGTTGCAGAGCTCCGGCTCGGCCTCATCCAGGGCCAGGCAGCGGCGGCGGTCGCTGAGCACCGGTCCCTGCGCAGCAGGAGGAAGGGAGCCATCCTCGGCAGCACTGTGTGGCAAAGAGGGGTGGTTTACGGAAAAGGGGGGACACACCAGGGAGGACACGGGACGTCAGGGATTTGCCCGGAGGATGGAAGGATGGGGGAGAAATGGTGGCTACCAAAGAGAGGGTTTGGGGGACACCAGGGGGGATGTGGACATTAGGGCTTTCCCTCAGAGGATGGAAGGATGGGGGACACCGGTGGGCAGCAAAGAGGGGGCTCAGGGACACCGGGGACAGCAGTACGGGTGTGGGACATCAGGGTTTTCCCCTTGCGAGTGGAAGGATGGGAGACGCTCGTGGGCAGCAAAGAGGGACATTGGGAACACAAGGGACACCGGAGACTATGTAGGACATCAGTTTTTTCCCCGAGGACAGGACAGGTTACACTGGTGTGCAGCAAAGAGGAGATATAGGGACACAGGAGACACCTGGGTGGATGTGAGAAATTAGGGTTTTCCCTAATGAGGGAAGTGACAAGAGGGACGAGTGACACTGGTGGGCAGCAAAGAGGGATGTTGGGGACACTGGAGAGTATGTGGGACATGAGGGTTTTCCCCCAGAGGACAGAAGGACAGGAGACAATGGTGGGGAGCAAAGACGGATGTTGGGGACACTGGGGACACCGGAGAGTATGTGGGACATTAGGGTTTTCCCGCAGAGGACAGAAGGTCAGGGGACACTGGTGGGCAGCAAAGAGCAGGGCTGGAGACACTGGGGACACCAGGGAGGATACAGCACATGAGGGTATTCCCCCAGAGGATGAGAGGATGGAAGGACACTGGCAGGCAGCAAAGAGCAGGACTGGGGACACCAGGGAGGATGGGGGACATCAGGGTTTCTCCCGGAGGACAGGGGGACACGGGGGGTCCCACCTGGGGGGCAGCTGGAAGTCCTGAATCTCGATGCTGAGGAAAGGGACGAAGGAGCGGCCGCAGAAGGGACAGGTGGTGTTGAGGTTGGAGTCGTCGGAGGTCCAGCCGGCCATCACCTCCTCGTCGTACACCAGCGCGCCGCAGCCCTGGCACCGCGAGCAGCTGGACAGCAGGACCTGGCGGGTGGCGGTGGCACCGTCAGCCCCCACGACGGTGGCTGGGGGCGAGCCGTGGTGGGACGGGACCCCTCAACTCACCTCCACGGCAGGGGGCCCCCGCCCCGGTGCCCCCCCGG